CTGTGTGTGTGTGTGTGTGTGTGTGTGTGTGTGTGTGTGTGTGTGTGTATATATATATATATATACACATACATACACACACACCCCTCTTTAACATTATTGAAGTCCAATATCACCAGTGTTAGGTTTAGGTGGTCCGGTAACAGAAGTTACATATTTGCTTTCCTTATAAGTGGAATCATAAAATTAGAGGTGCAAACTGAGGTGGAAAAGGGCCTCTTAGGTCTTGGAGTCAATCTCTGTGCCACAGCAGTAATGAGCAGAGTAGCACCTCTTTTCATTTCTAAAGTGCAGCACAAATTTCAAACATTCTGTCAATGAAAGAGCAGCTCTATTTGAAGCTGAGGAGAGTTAAGTGCAACTGATGGCACTATGTCACCTCAGCAGTGCTTCAAGCGATGAGGAGAAAAATCCAAAAAGCAGAGGCAGAACAAGAGCGAGCAAGGCTATTAAATTCATGGAGACTAACTAGCACAACACAGTTACCTGTGATAAATGTTTTATGCCACAGTGAAAATGGTGTCTGCTCTATTATGTGCAATTGGTGCTACATCTTGCATTAATATTACAAAGATGGAAATAAGAATAGTTAGATGTGACTGATCAATGTTAAATTCATGAACAGTAGAAGGTACAGCTTTCCTTCTTGATAAACATAATAGCCAAAGTCCACACCAGAAACTCCAACAGAACCAAACTAAATCACCAGGGAATAGAGAAAACCCTGAAGAGAAGGTGACATCAAGGTCCCACCAAGTATGACTACTTCCCTGAATATGTAGTGGCATTAAAGACATTCAGATTGATAAAGGATGGTTACATTTCTTGCTACTCACTTAAGATCAAGCATATCTGTGCAGTGAAAAAAAGTAGAGTCTCTAAAATAATATGAAAAGATAGACAAACGAATTAACTCTGATTTTATTTGTCACTAACAGCAAAACACACCACCTTTCTATCTAACCTATCTAATGAGACAAGGTAATCTACTGGTCAAAGCACTGGACATGGACCCAGGACTCCTGAGTTTTATTCCCAGCCCTGCTGCTGACTGATTGTATGATACTTGACAAATAATTTAACCACATGGTTTTACGAAGGGCAGATCGTGCCAAACGAATCTGATCTCCTTCTTCG